CCGGAGGAGAAGTGGTGGGTGGGTTTGGGGCAAAGGGTCTCCAAACTCGGCAACTTTAAAGACTGGTGGGCTTCAGCTCCCAGAGTTGAAGCTTTGCTGGCTGAGGAATTCTGGGAGTTGAAGTCCACAAGTCCTTAAAGTTGCCGAGGTTGGAGACCCCAGATCTAGTCCAAACCCACCCACCCAAACAGGAGGCCTAAGGTCTTCAAAAGTGGCCCGTTTAAGACTTGTGGACTTCAACTCACTTGAGACTTTCAAGAAGAGATTGGGCTGCCATTTGTCAGAAATGGGGTAGGGCCATGAAGGCGAACCTATAGCCCGAGTGCCGGAAGTGGCACGCAGAGCCATCTCTGCCGGTCCCCGAGCCATGACGCATGTGCGTGTCCCTCCCGCCAGCCAGCTGACTGTCAGGTATATGCGGTGCATGGGCAGGGGGGCAGGTGCGCGGGGGAGGTGCGCACGGATGCGTAGGGGGGGGCTTGTGCGCGCATTGCATTATGGGTGCAGGCACGCACACCTGCACACTTTTGGTGACGGAAAGGTTAGCCATCACTGGTGTAGGGTCTCCCGCTTGGGCGGGGGGGGGTTGGACTAGATGACCTACAAGATCCCTTCCAACTCTGATGATCCGTTAAATCTGTTAAATTCCTGAGCTAACATGACTGGAAGAGGAATTCTGAGAGTTGAAGTCCACAAGTCTTAAAGCTGTCAAGTTTGGGGACCCCTGATCTACAGTATCTATCTTCTATCTCCATGTCTATCTATATCTATCTATCTATCTATCTATCTATCTATCTATCTATCTATCTATCTATCTATCTATCTATCTATCTATCATCTATCTATCTAATCTATATCTATCTATCTATCTAATCCAAGGGTCTTCAACCTTGGTAAGTTTAAGACTTGTGGACTTCAACTCACAGAATTCCTGAGCTATCATGACTAGAGGAGGAATTCTGGGAGTTGAAGTCCACAAGACTTAAAAGCTGTCAAGTTTGAAGGCCTCCATGGTTTGGGGGATGCTAGGCTTGGGTTGGGTTGGGTTGGCTGCTCCGGTGAGGAAGCGTCGGCGGCGATGAGGCAGGAAGCAAAGGTCACAGCCAAGATCTGGTGCTTCTTACGGGAAGCCTTTGCTTGGGGAGCCCTTCCCACTGCTGCGAATGGGCCGGAATGGAGCTCAGCGACGCCAGAAGACAAGTTTCGCTTTATTGTAAACGGAGTGCCGGAGAGGTTTGGTGAAATCACACGATGCGGCATGACCTTGGAGAGAGAGAGAGAGAGAGAGCTGTCCCACGCCCGGAAGTGTGGTTGGGGCCCTGAGGGCAGGGACTCATCTGTGAGCAAAACACATTTACAAAGGAGGAGGAGGAGGAGGGAGGTCCTCTCGGTCCGTTTGAGCTCCGCTTTGCAAAAAAGGGAGCGAGTTCTGAGAGAGGCCTCAGCAGGCAAGAAACCCCAGAACTGTGTTTTTCCACCTCAGCAGGGATAGTAGGGATTTGACTCCCAGAATTCCCCAGCCAGCATGTCCACAGGTCTTAAAATGGGATGACTGGGGAACTCTGGGAATTGAAATCCATGCATTTTAAAGATGGTGGCTAGAGAATTCTGGGAGTTGAAGTCCACATCTCTGCCTGTCTGCCTGCCTCCTTCCAACCATCCATCCACCCAACCTATCGTCCGTCGATC